CTGACACACACACATGGTCACTACAGACAAGCTCACAGTCACACACATGCTTACTACAGACAAGCTCACGGCAAACACATGCTCACCCCAGACAAGCTCAGACACACTCATGCTCTCTACAGACACGCTCTTTAACACGCACACATGATCCCTACAGACAAGCTCACTGACACACATACAAGCTCACTCACTAGCAAACAAACAAAGTTCACTCACTAGCAGGCACACACACACACACACACACAAGCTCACTCACTAGCACAAACACAAAGCTTACCTGGCACTGGTAGCAGAAAGTGTCACTGTCTGCCCTCTTCATTTCAGCAAGGTCAGCAGCTTCTGTCTGGGGGAGGGGCTTGTGTTCGGGAGGCGGTGCTTAAGTGCGGTGGCCGGGCATGCGGCCATACTTGCTGTACACTGTGCAGGGAGACTGACAGGTCTCCCTCCAGCCGCAAGCAGAGTAATTGCGGTGCTCCAGCCTCCAGCTTATCTCTCATTACTCCTCTCGGACTGACAGAGGCTAGCACAGTCCAAGGGGAGAAACATTTAAATTACAGGATCCTGATCAGTGATGATTAGGGCTGTCAGCCCAGCCCTAGGTGCCGCGGCCCACTGGAAAATTTCCCAGTATCCCGGTGGGCCAGTCCATGGTGCTTTAGTAGTTAATTTTGGAGAGTAATCAAAATTAAATATTATAGAACGAAAGCAGAAAAATTGTTCATAGTAAGTAATCACATAGAAATGAATTAATTCATTAAAACATAACTTTTATTGCTGAAGATATTAACAAAATGTAATAGACCGTCAAATTTGTGCATTAAAAAAAATTCCATTACTATTTACATAATTCACACAGCTCAAGGGTGATTGTTACAGCTACAAAAAATAAAAACGCTGAACATGGTTTGTGGGGTTTGTGGGGTTTGGGGATAGCTGATCATTTTTCTCTTTAATTTTATGAGATTCTGCTTTCACAGCTAAATTATGATTAGGGACATCTCGTTCACTATAGTTACTCTATGCAATATTTAGTAGATAGGAGCCCTGGAAGGCACAATAGGGAGAACTCAGGCATTTTCACATTTACTTTGAAAGAGGTACACCAGTTTTTGGCTTACCTGAGTTCTATCCTTTTTTATTTAGTTACGTAATTCTTTGTATAAATAATTGTTTTTGGTTAAATTCGTAGATGGTGGGCAGATGAAATTAACTTTAAGTATCACGTACCAATGGCAACTATGTATCAGACCGCTGTAACATTCAAATTCAAACTTGATACCTAGTTTCAGGTTATACGTTTTTTTGGTAGCTGCTAGCCAGCACTCTTGATCTGCGTGGTTTGTAAATAGTGATGGATATTTTGTAGTGCACAAGTTTGGCAGTCTGTTACATTTTTTAATATGTTGATCAATAAAAGTTACGTTTGAATCTGAATTCCTTTCTATGTTATTATTCACTAAGAAACCATTTTTTCTCTTTCCATCTATTTTGCAACATCCCCCCTCCCACGTTTCTTAGTTATTATTGAATAAGCTCAACAATCTCGGTTTTAAAACTAATAATTGTGTTTTACATAAGATTAACTGGTTGTTTAATGTGTGTACATATTTAGCTTTACAATGTGTTCTGTTTATGTTTTTTGTACAGTACTAGGTATATCAAAGTGAAATGAACGGGTGGAAGGTTTCCAATCATTGAGTTCTTCTACTTCTCTCTTTTCTTCTTTCTTAATTTGATGCTGTGCCTTGATTCTGTATGGGACACTAACAGGAAAGCAGAGGAAGATATTCTATTAATATTACATTAAAAGGGGACATTTTATTGCTTAGCAGAAAATTGTATGTAGAGATGAGTGGAATAAGGCAACACTTTCATAATTAACACAAGTAAAATAGAGGCACACACGTTTGACTCTAGAACGAGGTTGCCAGTGAAGTCTTGGTATCGGAAATCCAGAAACATAATCAGCAACGTTCCAAGCTCCCTTGTAAACTATATTCCTGGGCTATCTGTTCCTGATCATATTCAACTACTATTCCTAGTTTCCTAAACCTCATGACTTCTGGCTCTGAAACATAGAACTGTCTCACTGATCTAGAACCTTTGTTGACTGCTTTGACCTTCTTGCTTCATTTGACTAAAAGCTCTATCTCATCCCTCCTGCACAGACAATTAGTGCATAATCTTTATCCCTGGTCCTTAGTTGTTATGCTTCTCTCAGGTGTCCCAAAACCACTACAATCTGCCACCTCATTTGATTGACCCTCCACTGTTTATTCACCTAACACAGACTCCAAAAAAATAGAGTCTAGAAGTTTCTTCTAATATCCTTTTTATTGGAAAGACATGTTAACGGGTGATACTCGCTTTATCGAGGTATAACCGAACAAAATGAATTGTGCAATCGAAAACCCTTAAAATAATAATAGCACAACACATAATACAGAGATTCTGTGTTACGTAAAAAATGGAAATAAAAGACAAACACACCATGTCAAAAGATTGGAAATATTCTGAGAAAAGACTGTGTGCTGAAGATAACAGTTGGAGAGGAGGAAAAGAGAAAGACTTATAGTGAAACAGAACAAACCAGCTGGCCGTGCCATTAGCAGTCCACAGCTAAGTTTTGCCTAATCGTATTCAATTCTTTTTGTTCATTTTAAAGAATAAATACTGAGAAATCTTCACATTCACCTGTACAACAATCAATCAATAACGTATTTCAGCAAGCGTTTTAAATATTTCAATAGTTCTAGGTAGAAAAATCAAATTGTATAATTTCGTTCTGGAATCTAGGTTGAAAAATAAAATTGTATAATAACTAAGGCTAAATTAAATAACTCCAAAGGAGAAAATTAACAAAATGAAAAGACCGGGTCATTAAAGAAAGTATAGTCTATTTTATTGATTCTGTGACGCAATAAATGTAATCATGTAAATCCAATGTAATACACCTCATTACCCTTTATGGGGCTGGCAGTACTGGGTCCCCATTAGCCGGCACGGATAATGATATTTTGGGAGAAAAAGATCTATTGGTTTGGACAGTAAAGCTTTCTAATTTGTTGATTTTGATTTAGAACGTTGAGTATAATCACACATTGTATGCCTGACCAACCTCCTCACCTCTTAGACTCATGAAATATAATTACACTGTATATTTAATACCATTGCAGTAAAGAAACAGTACCTACCAAGGCGTTTGGGGCATTTTCAGCAGTGGAATAAATGTGTCAGCCTTTACCTTGTATGAACTTCTGTAAAATAGAATAAAATGATCAAATGTCAGTTATTAACAGATTAACCAATACGATCAAGACTGAAGCACCATATTGTTTTGTGTTGTACATGCAACTATATTTTCCTTTTAGTCCAAGTTTGTAAAATTGAAAATAAAATTAATTATTTTTTTAAGGACAAATAGCACTTAGTTTTGATACAAGCAAAATATATAACAGTTTTAAAAATGAAAAGTTTACATACATCTTGCTAACCGCTTAACCTATTAAACACATTGGTTTAAAACGAAATTATACACTATCACTTTTCTTATAATATTTAAGGGTTTTGATGGCATTTGTAGGAAAACAGCTTCATACAAAATGCCGACAGGATGTACAAATAACATTGTATGCAGACAGAATGCTCAGGAAGAGTAAATCAGTTACACTAAAATATTGTATTATAAAGAGGATTCCACTAAATTATATCTGATACCCAGATGGATGATTTTGGAAAAGCTGGAGTAGCTGTCAAGTGAAGACTGACCTACATTGGATAGTGATTAAAAACGGGAAATGTCGTAACATTATTTTAAAAGGAAGGGGCCACAAGCTAAACATTTACAGGAACATTACATCATAAAATATAATATTTCCTATGTTCATTTAAATAAAAATGTGAGTAGATTCTAATAACAGCTGAATTGCCACATTGTCTTGGAGTATAACATTTGTGCTATGTTCGCAATTTCTTAATAATGTGAATGTTCCTTCTTTGCTAAAAGAAACAAACTCTTAATGTGCTTAAAGTTTTGTGCTGATCAAGTAATATAACATTTTTGTTTTTTGGTACGCGTGTATTTGTTTAATTAAAACTGTAACAAAAATCAAAGCTACAGTATTGTAGGGCTTATTTACTAAAAGCTGAATTGTTTTGGATTGAAAAACAATTTGCAAAATATAGACAATGGCTGATTTGGAATTTATGCCACCATTTTGCTAAAATATTTTTTGTTCAAATTAAGTGTATTGAGAGTTTTAAAGAGAACCAAGACATTTCAAGTCAAACTGAGTAGAAAGATCATCCTGCAATGTAACATATCAAGTACAAATATTACAGAATATTTTAATATAGTGAATTCACTCAACATATTTAGTCCTGATCAAGACATGTGCCATCAACAACAATTACATCTGGAGGTCTAGGAGAAGATGATAGTAAAACAATAGTAAAAGGAAAAGATAAATAATAAGCATCTTAATAAATATCAAAATAATGTAATAATACAACAGAAAATATATGATCGTGACTTATGTTCGTGACTGAGTCAACACCACTGGTTCAAGGTCCATGACAGCCATGTGAGATCCTATATCCTCAATCTATGCATTTTGTAAACCAATCTACCTATAGAGAAGATGCTTGTGAGTCCCAATCCTCTAATATCCTCTCAAGCTCAGCGGTAAGAGGACCATTTTCCTCTCAAACTCACCGGTAAGAGGACCATTTTCCTCTCAAGCTCAGCGGTAAGAGGACCATTTTTTCTAGTTTCAAGTTCATCTATTTTATTCTGAGATAAAGATCTGACCTGTTCTTTAGAAGAAAGATTTCTAGTTTCTTGGACATATGTAACTCACTGCTATTAATATATGTTTTATAAAAAATCTCTACCATTTTGTATTTCTGCCTGGGACAAATTAAATAAAAGGTATTGTAGAGATAGTGGTTCCAAAAGGACATAATCCCAGGAGAGAACCACCATATATGCCTCATAGTCCCTGTCTGACCAAATCCCCTCCAACAACAGTCTAATGAACCAGAGTATATTTTAGCCAGTGTAGATGGAACTAAATATCAGTAGAGTTTGTGGCTATCCTCAAAGCCTTCAATATGTTGTGCCAGATTAGAGGTTCGTCATTTACAGATAGCTCTTTCCCATTAAAGCGTAAGAATAAATGTAGGTTGGTGAATCAAAGTTAAATACTAGTAACACAGGGAAATACCATGTTTACACAGAGGGTTCTTATGAC